GCTAGAAAAGGATTGTTGGCGCTTCACACCAGTACACAGACACTTTAACACCACTCAGGATAATAATCTAAAACCAGCATTTGTGCTGCGTTAGACGCAGAATCTGCAGACGCAGAAACACCAAGAGCTCGTCATGTTGGTCTGCTGTCTCTTATAAAACCGTCTTGGGGGCTCGACTCCAAACGTAGACTTCTTCAGCATCGGAGCATAAAACTGGTCAAAGAGCTTCTGCTGCTGGATCAGTGGTTGAATGAACTCCAGAGCACATCAGCCCAGTCGAGAGGTGTGCAAGTGCAAAAACACATGACCAATTGCCAATTAGGTTGGAAAATGTTACGGTGGGGGAATATAGCTGCTGTCTATGCTGCTCCCTCTGCCTTCTATCACTGTATGGAATGCTTAATAAAGTTTAATAGGGTAAATTTGCTTTTCATGCAATATAGCTCATGTTAGATATTTTTTTTACATACAGATAGAGCAGAAGGGTAAAGGGAGACAGTGCAAGAGATAAGAGATGATACTAAGATAGGTGGTTATATAGCTGTCAAATTTTGATCATCACAGTCACAGTTTAAAGTCATCCTGTCAGATTTGCCTTCCAATTTTTTTTTTTTTATTGAAATAAGAGCCAGATAGATGTGTCATGTGTGCTTCTTCTAATGTCAAGAGCAAAAAGCCACTCACGGGTCACTCTTTGACAGAAATCGAAATGACACGTAGGAGAGACGAGCTTGTAAGTATTCTCCCATGTCAAAGCGGGTGCCATTAATAATGCACCCACAGCATTTGCGCATGTTTAATTAAAGAAAAATCAGCCAGATAAAAGCAGCAGCATTACTGTAAAGCTTTGTTTAAAATTTTATGATATTCAAAGATCAAACAATTAGACGACTGATCAAAAACTTTATTTTTATGTGATCACTGATTCATTTTTAAACTAAAATATCAAACATTTGCTAATTCCAGGCTCTAAAATATGAAGATTCACTGCTTTTTAAACTTTAAACTGAAAATCTGTGGGCTCTGGACTGCCAGCAGAAGAAAACATTTTAAGATCTGTTTTTTTGATTACTATGGAAACAAACTGCAAACGGGTAACCAAGCAGATTACACACATAATTCTATTTGCCTGAGCCTTCTACGATATCTTCCTTTTTTAATGTATAAAACCAAAAGTACCACTGATCTATAAAGAAACAAGTTGTATGTATAAGTTGCTAAAGATATCTCCAAGGTTAATTCCAGAGCATCATTGTCACCCAGTCCTTTATCGTACCAGTGTTTCTATCTTGATGTGAAGATAAAGTTAATTTATTTTCCAGCAGCAATGTGACACATATTGGCCTTGTCCTCTCTATAAACATCTCTGATGAGAGGCAGTAGGTTTGTCAGACAAGCCTTGTCAGATTTGATATCACATTTGTTTGCTGTTTTGCTGGAGGCAAAAGAGGAAAATGTATCTCTGCAAGGGCAAGACAAGAGCGCCAGAGATTAGACGCGCAACACTGAGCTGATGAGGTTTTACACATAATACTGTCAGGACAGAAGCTAATAGCCAGAATGTAATGCATGCTTTATTGTCATCAGTGACCCAGCAAGCGTGACATTTTCACAAAGAGCGTGTGCGGAGAACCGGACTGTGGCGTGCTCTCTGCAAATCAGCTGCACATTTCAGCATCTTATCGCTTATCTTTGCATTTCATGAAAGCTCTCAGAAGGTCACGACGAGAGCAGCCGCAAGAGAGAATAAAATGATTCTGTGTGCAGCAGCAGCAGGTTGAGTGCAGTATTGCCAAGTATCATCTCTTAGTTCTCCTTGTTTTTGTTGAACTCCTCCTACTCCGTCTACACAGAATTATTTATCTTTGGATCGCTTCCTCTTGCATAATTTTTTTGCCAAAAAATGCTGACAAGGTAAAGAACGCCGGCTCTCCTAATGTGGAACTCTGATGGAAAACAATAAATAATTTCTTTGCTCTTTTTCTACTGAAAGGCAAGCTTAAAGGTGGGAGGGAAGTCCAAGTGAGGAGAACAGATGGTCCCACAGGAACAGCGGGCAACAGCCAAAAATTCATCAGATCAGGATTCAAGAAAGGCACATAGCTGCAGTCTCCCTGTAGAGAAAAAGTGGCGTTCGGCTCATCTGAGAAAGGCTCGAGTGAATCAATGACTAGTTTTGTTTTGTAACGTCAGACCCTCGGAGAGTCTGCTGTAAAATTTCACTTTGACGTGTCACTAAAAAAGAAACAAAGATGAACTAATGATACAGAAATACAACACAGAGAGAGAACAACAGAAATTAAAGCCGCAAGCGGCGATGGACGGGTCCTCGC